CGCTGCTCCCCAACACTGCGCTGCCCCCAACACTGCGCTGCTCCCCAACACTGCGCTGCCCCCCAACACTGCACTGCGCTGCTCCCCAACACTGCGCTGCGCTGCTCCCCAACACTGCACTGCTCCCCAACACTGCGCTGCTCCCCAACACTGCGCTGCCCCCCCACACTGCACTGCGCTGCTCCCCAACACTGCGCTGCGCTGCTCCCCAACACTGCGCTGCTCCCCAACACTGCACTGCGCTGCTCCCCAACACTGCGCTGCGCTGCCCCCCAACACTGCGCTGCGCTGCTCCCCAACACTGCGCTGCTCCCCAACACTGCACTGCGCTGCTCCCCAACACTGCGCTGCCCCCTAACATTGCGCTGCCCCCCAACACTGCGCTGCTCCCCAACACTGCGCTGCCCCCAACACTGCGCTGCTCCCAACACTGCGCTGCTCCCCAACACTGTGCTGCCCCCCAACACTGCGCTGCTCCCCAACACTGCGCTGCTCCCCAACACTGCACTGCGCTGCTCCCCAACACTGCACTGCGCTGCTCCCCAACACTGCGCTGCCCCCCAACACTGCGCTGCCCCCCAACACTGCGCTGCTCCCCAACACTGCGCTGCCCCCAACACTGCGCTGCCCCCCAACACTGCGCTGCTCCCCAACACTGCGCTGCCCCCAACACTGCGCTGCTCCCCAACACTGCGCTGCCCCCCCACACTGCACTGCGCTGCTCCCCAACACTGCGCTGCGCTGCTCCCCAACACTGCGCTGCGCTGCCCCCCAACACTGCGCTGCTCCCCAACACTGCACTGCGCTGCTCCCCAACACTGCGCTGCCCCTAACACTGCGCTGCCCCCAACACTGCGCTGCTCCCCAACACTGCGCTGCCCCCCAACACTGCGCTGCTCCCCAACACTGCGCTGCTCCCCAACACTGTGCTGCCCCCAACACTGCGCTGCTCCCCAACACTGCGCTGCTCCCCAACACTGCACTGCGCTGCTCCCAACACTGCACTGCGCTGCTCCCCAACACTGCGCTGCCCCCAACACTGCGCTGCCCCCCAACACTGCGCTGTCCCCAACACTGCGCTGCTCCCCAACACTGTGCTGCCCCCCAACACTGCGCTGCTCCCCAACACTGCGCTGCTCCCCAACACTGCACTGCGCTGCTCCCCAACACTGCACTGCGCTGCTCCCCAACACTGCGCTGCCCCCAACACTGCGCTGCCCCCCAACACTGCGCTGCTCCCCAACACTGCGCTGCCCCCCAACACTGCGCTGCCCCCCAACACTGCGCTGCTCCCCAACACTGCGCTGCCCCCCAACACTGCGCTGCTCCCCAACACTGCGCTGCCCCCCACACTGCACTGCGCTGCTCCCCAACACTGCGCTGCGCTGCTCCCAACACTGCGCTGCGCTGCCCCCAACACTGCGCTGCTCCCCAACACTGCACTGCGCTGCTCCCCAACACTGCGCTGCCCCCTAACACTGCGCTGCCCCCCAACACTGCGCTGCTCCCCAACACTGCGCTGCCCCCCAACACTGCGCTGCTCCCCAACACTGCGCTGCTCCCCAACACTGTGCTGCCCCCAACACTGCGCTGCTCCCCAACACTGCGCTGCTCCCCAACACTGCACTGCGCTGCTCCCCAACACTGCACTGCGCTGCTCCCCAACACTGCGCTGCCCCCCAACACTGCGCTGCCCCCCAACACTGCGCTGCTCCCCAACACTGCGCTGCCCCCCAACACTGCGCTGCTCCCCAACACTGCGCTGCCCCCCCACACTGCACTGCGCTGCTCCCCAACACTGCGCTGCACTGCTCCCCAACACTGCACTGCTCCCCAACACTGCACTGCGCTGCTCCCAACACTGCGCTGCGCTGCTCCCCAACACTGCACTGCTCCCCAACACTGCACTGCTCCCCAACACTGCACTGCGCTGCTCCCCAACTCTGCGCTGCTCCCCAACACTGCACTGCTCCCCCAACACTGCACTGCTCTCCCAACACTGCACTGCTCCCCCAACACTGCGCTGCTCCCCCAACACTGCACTGTGCTGCTCCCTCAACACTGCGCTGCTCCCCCAACACTGCGCTGCTCCCCATCACTGCACTGCGCTGCTCTCCCAACACTGCGCTGCTCCCCCAACACTGCGCTGCTCCCCCAACACTGCACTGCTCCCCAACACTGCACTGCGCTGCTCCCCAACACTGCACTGCTCCCCCAACACTGCGCTGCTCCCCAACACTGCGCTGCTCCCCCAACACTGCGCTGCTCCCCCAACACTGCGCTGCTGAGTTTGCCGTTGGCTGTGTCTGCTACGGGTGGTCAGTGGGGTCTGTGCGTCAGGCTCGGGCCAGGACGCTCCCCCGGTCCCGTTTGCCAGACACACACACCACACACACAGGGGCCATCGAGCCTCTCATACCCAGGAAATGACTCATTCAGGAAACCGTGTCTTTTGTAATCAGTGAATCAAAAGGAAACTCAGATTTCCTCAACACATATTACAGTAGAGCATCAGCCTGAGGCCGAGTGAGGAAGGAGTGGCAGCCTGAGGGCAGCGGGGAGTGCTCTGGCCTCCGCGGCAGAAAATTCATCCATCAGTCTCTCTGTCACACCCTCTGGAACTTCACCCCACAGTCCCTCTGCCTCGCCCCCTCCCTCGCCCCCTCCCTCGCCTCCTTCAAGACACGTCTCAAGACCCTCGTCTTCGACTGCGCCTTCGGCCACCCTCCTACCCCCACCCTCCCCACCCTCCCGATCCCAAACCCCAGCTCGGGTCCAAATCCCTCAATGTCTAGACCCTTGGGACAGCCTCCCGACGTGAAAGGCGCCGTGTAAATGTCATGTTGTTGTTGTTTTTGATGTTCATGGAGAAGCGCTGCATTATTGGAGACACTGTCCTTCAGATGAGACGTTAACCCTCACTCCCCGCCTGCCCCACGTTCAGGCGGACATTAAAGATCTCCCGCGGCGCTGCAGGGAAAAGAGAAGGAAGTTTCCCTCTCTCTCTCTCACTCTCTCTTGTCCGGGCTGACAATCCCCTGACAGGGACGTGGCTGTGTGTAAAACTGGCTGCTGCGTTTGCCTACAAACCACACAGTCACTACACTTTACAGTGAATGCTGTGGAAACGCTTTGGGACTACAACAACAACAACAAGGTGTGGACGGTGTACGCAGGCTGTGTTAGGTGTGAGGAGCGTTGGTTGGTTGGTTGGTTGGTTGGTTGACCCGCGGAGGCTGGTGATGGGGAGCTGACCTGGGGCTCGGGCTGGTCACCGGGAGCCGGGCGTCGGTACAGCAGCTTCTGATCCTCGAGAGGACGAGAGCGCCCGTTCCTCTGCTCCTCCATTGTCGCCTGTCACCAACAACAACAACAGCAACTTACACAGCGCCTCTCACACAGGGCAGCGCCCCACAGCACAAAGCTCAGCCGGGGGGGGGGGGAGGAGGAGGAGGCAGGAGCGAAGAGGAAGATCTTCGGGCACGATCTGCAAATGGGGAAGGAAGGGGTTTGCACAGGAATAGAGTCCGTGATCCAGAGCTTCAGGGCACAGTGACTGGTGGCACAGCACAGTCTGACTCACACACACACACACACACACACACACACTCCGCCTGACACACACACACACTCCGCCTGACACACACACACACTCAGCCTGATACACACACACACACACTCCGCCTGACACACACACACACTCCGCCTGACACACACACACACACTCCGCCTGACACACACGCACACACACACCACCTGACACACACACACACACTCCGCCTGACACACACGCACACACACTCCGCCTGACATACACGCACACACACACACACACACACAGCCTGACACACACACACACTCCGCCTGACACACACGCACACACACTCCGCCTGACATACACGCACACACACACACATACAGCCTGACACACACCGCCTGACGCACACACACACTCCACCTGACACACACACACACACACACACCGCCTGACGCACACACACACTCCGCCTGACACACACTCCGCCTGACACACACACACACTCCGCCTGACACACACACCGCCTGACGCACACACACACTCCGCCTGACACACACACCGCCTGACACACACACACTCCGCCTGACACACACACACACACACACACCGCCTGACGAACACACACATTCCGCCTGACACACACACACACTCCGCCTGACACACACACACTCCGCCTGACACACACACACACACACTCCGCCTGACACACACACACACACACCGCCTGACACACACACACACACACACACACACCGCCTGACACACACACACACACACACACCGCCTGACACACACCGCCTGACACACACAGCCTGACACACGCGCACAGCCTGACACACACACATCGCCTGACACACACACACACACACCGCCTGACACACACACACACCGCCTGACACCATCACCGACATCATCAACCTGTCCCTCTCCTCTGGCTCTGTCCCCATTCCCTTAAAAACTGCCATCATCACGCCCACCCTGAAAAAACCCTCCCTTGATGCGTCGCAGCTATCAAGCTACCGGCCCATCTCCAACCTCCCCTTTCTCTCCAAGGTCTTGGAAAGAGTTGTCGCCTCCCAACTGCGCTCTTTCCTCTCCACCCATTCTCTTTTCGAACCCCTTCAGTCAGGTTTCCGTGCTGCCCATAGCACAGAAACTGCCCTGGTCAAGGTCACCAATGATATCCTGACCATCTGTGACCAGGGCTCCCTCTGCTCCTCGTCCTCCTCGACCTATCGGCAGCATTCGATACGGTCGACCACGCTATCCTACTCCACCGCTTGTCCTCCCACCTCAACCTTCAAGGCACTGTCCTTGAATGGTTTAGGTCGTACCTTTCTCACCGTCTTCACTTTGTCTCGACGAATGGCTTCTCCTCCACCCCCGCACTGTCTCATGTGGTGTCCCTCAGGGCTCTGTCCTCGGTCCCCTCCTCTTCACCCTCTATATGCTCCCCCTTGGTGACATCATCCGCAGACATGGGTTAACTTCCACATGTATGCGGATGACACCCAACTCTACCTTTCCTCCTCTACTCTCAACTCCACGACCACCGATGTCCTGACAGCTGCCTGTCCGACATCGAGTCCTGGACGAGAGACAACTTTCTTCAGCTCAACGTGCGAAAAACCGAGGCCCTCCTGATTGGCTCACGTCAGCGCCTCCGCACCTCAGGCGCTGACACCATCAGCATCCAAGGCTGCACTCTCCACCTCTCAAAGCCATCAGGAACCTCGGGTTCTCGACCCTGAGCTGTCCTTTCTCCCTCACATCCGCACCACAACTGGCACCGCCTTCCATCACCTCCGGAACATCGCCAGACTACGGCATTACCTCACCCCTCACGCGCTGAAACCCTGGTTCACGCCTTTGTCACCTCAAGGCTGGACTATGGGAACTCTCTCCTCGCCGGCCTTCCCGCCACCTCCCTCCACAAGCTGCAGGTCATTCAGAACTCTGCAGCTCGTGTACTGTCCCACACCAGACACCGCGACCACATCACACCCACTCTCGCCCTCACCCTCGCCCTCACCCTCACCCTCACCCTCACCCTCGCTCGCCTCCACTGGCTCCCCATCCCCCAGAGGATTGATTTCAAGATCCTCATCCTCACCTACAAGGCCATTCACGGCCTCGCTCCCTCCTACCTCTCCAACCTACTATCCCCCTACCTACCTGCCCGTACCCTCCGTTCCTCTGGCTCCGGTCTGCTCCACGTCCCCCGCCCCAACCGCCCTACCATCGGTGGTCGGGCCTTCAGCCTCTCAGCCCCGAGGCTCTGGAACTCCATCCCCCAGTGCCTTCGCCGCTTCCTCCCTTTCCTCCTTCAAGGCCGGTCTCAAAACCTTTCTCTTTGACCGAGCCTTCAGCTCTCCTCTCGACTCTCTCCCCTCCTCCCCCCCTCCTTCCCTCCCCTCACCCTGACCATTTCCCCCCTCCTCGCTCCCTCCCTTCCCTCCCCTCACCCTGACCATTTCCCCCCTCCTCGCTCCCTCCCTTCCCTCCCCTCACCCTGACCATTTCCCCCTCCTCGCTCCCTCCCTTCCCTCCCCTCACCCTGACCATTTCCCCCCTCCTCGCCCCTCCCTTCCCTCCCCTCACCCTGACCATTTCCCCCCTCCTCGCTCCCTCCCTTCCCTCCCCTCACCCTGACCATTTCCCCCCTCCTCGCTCCCTCCCTTCCCTCCCCTCACCCTGACCATTTCCCCCTCCTCGCTCCTCCCTTCCCTCCCCTCACCCTGACCATTTCCCCCCTGCTCGGGTCATGACCCAACTGTGCAGCGCCTTGGGACGTCCTCTTGACGTGAAAGGCGCTTTATAAATGGAATCTTGTTGTTGTTGTTGTCGACACACATACACACCGCCTGACACACACCGCCTGACACACACCGCCTGACACGCACACACACCGCCTGACACTCACACACACCGCCTGACACTCACACACACCGCCTGACACTCACACACACCGCCTGACACACACACACACACCTGACACACACACCGCCTGACACCCACACACACACCGCCTGACACCCACACACGCACCGCCTGACACACATGCACCGCCTGACACACACACGCACAGCCTGACACACACACACCGCCTGACACACCACAGCAAAGACACAGTTAATCCTCCCCAACAACCAACTCCATCCAGGCACAGGGCACCAACCTGTTCTCTCTGTCTCTCTCTCTCTCTCTCTCTCTGTGTCTCTCTCTCTGTCTCTGTGTCTCTCTCTCTCTGTGTCTCTCTCTCCGTGTCTCTCTCTGTGTGTGTCTCTCTCTGTGTGTGTCTCTCTCTCTGCGGCTCTCTCTTTCTCTCTCTCTGTCTCTCTATGTTTCTCTCTCTTTCTCTCTGTATGTCTCTCTCTCTCTCTTTCTGTCTCTCTGTGTGTGTGTCTCTCTCTCTCTCTGTGTATCTCTCTCTCTCGCTCTGTGTCTCCCTCTGTCTCTCTCTCTCTCTCTCTGTCTCGTTCTGTCTCTCTCTCCCTCTGTGGGGAGTTATGTCCCAGTAAAACCAGTTGCTCCGCGTTACAGTGAGCTCAGCCCGGAGGGAGGCTCAGCCCGGAGGGAGGCTCAGCCCGGAGGGAGGCTCAGCCCGGAGGGAGGCTCAGCCCGGAGGGAGGCTCAGCCCGGAGGGAGGCTCAGCCTGGAGGCTCGGGCTGACAGGCTACACGATTCCACACAGCACAGCACTGAGCAGCGATGGAATGTGGGAATGTGGGGATGGTCAATTCTCACCCCCACCCGGCCTCACCCCCCAGCCTCTCACCCCCCACCCCCCCTTTAGAGAGCCTGTGAGAGCAGCGGGGCGGTGTGAGGAGCCTGAGGAGGACCAGGCTGTGTGGAACCCTCCCAGACGAGGCTAAATCACATTCGTGCCCGAGCCACAAACTCACTGATCTGCCGGTTCAGTGGCTGCCTCGCTGCCCAGCCAGCGCCTGCAGGGTTAACCCCAGCCTGCACTCACTGCGTGCAGTGTAGTGACTGTGTGACTGGGTGGCAGCCAATCTTCAACACGCGTGTGGCCCACGTGTGAAAAGCCTGATATAACCTCAGAGACCGGCTGAGGACCTGACGAGGCGCATTGCTCACTGAGGCTCGGGCTCGGGTCCCAGACAAACCGCTTAATCTTTTAACCCTGTGATGTTTGGAGCCTTTTTTAAATGTGTATAAAATGTACAGGTATAAAATAAACGCCCGTAACCCCCACCCCCAAACCCCTCACCCCAACCCCTCACCCCAAACCCTTGCTCTCAGCTATTGGTATCGTGACCCTATCACCCCCATCCTCGCCCAACTCCACCGGCTTCCCATCACACAGTGGATACAGTTCAAGATCCTGATCCTCACTTTCAAAGCCCTCCATGGCCTTGCTCCCCCCAACCTCTGTGACTCCGGGCTGCTTCACGTCCCCCACCTCGCCAAGCCCACCAGTGTTGGACAGGCCTTCAGCCTCTCTGTCCCCACCCTCTGGAACCAATCCACAGTCCCTCCGCATCACCCCCTCCCTTGCCTCCAAGACCTTGTGCTTCAGTCATGCCTTTGGTCACCCTCCTATCCCCACCCTCCGCCCCTCTTGATCCCAACCACCAGCTCGGGTGCGGATCTCTGGACTGTCCGGTACCTTGGGACGTCTTCCTGACGTGAAAGGCTCTGTGTAAATGTCATTCGTTGTTGTATCAATTTTGTGGAATTTGTTAACGGATTTCTTAATTAAGAAATGGGGATGGAGGAAGGTCACATCAGTCACTGGGGGGTCTCAGGTTTTCGTCACTCTGACTTGAAAGGATTCTCCCCCCATACACACTTCCCCCACACACACTCCCCCCACCCACACACTCCCCCCACCCACACACTCCCCCCACCCACACACTCCTCCCACCCACACACTCCCCCCACCCACACACTCCTTCCACCCACACACTCCCCCCACCCACACACTCCTCCCGCACACACACTCCTCCCACACACACAATTGCCTCCCCACACACACACAATTTCCCCCCCACACACCCCCACACACACCCCCCACACACACAATTACCCCCACATACACACACACTCACTCCCTCCCTCTCCACACACACACACGCACAATCCCCCCCACACACACAGTCCTCCTCAACCGCACTCCTCCCCCACCCCAGCCTGTACCCCCCAGACCCACTGTGTGAGCAGTGGGTGCCCTGTCACTGAGGAAGGAAACAGCTTCTTTCTCATTGAGGAAGGAAGGAAGGAGACCATGTGACCTACATAACGCTTAAAATAAAATGCTGTAAATGGCTGGTCTGAGGGGTATGGCCTCCCATCACTGCACAAAACCCTCCCCACATTCCACACGGCACCTCTCACCCACCCCGCTATACCCTGTGCAGTGTAGTGACTGTGTGCATTGTAGACAAATGCGGAGCCAATCAGCGCACAGCGACGTCTCTGACGGGCAGATCGTTAACGTCCGCCGTGAACAGGGCACAGGCGGGGAGTGAGGTTTAATGTCTCATCTGAAGGACGGCGTCTCCGATAATGTCCCACTCTCTACCTGCCCCCAGCGCTGGGCGGGAGCGTCAGCCTCGACTGTGAGCTCCAAGTCCCTAACCTGTGGGGGGCTCGAACCCACAATCTCCTGCCTTGGTGAGAGTGTGGCACCCCCAAGCCACTGACACCCTGAGGTTAATCCCCGATGATCACTAGCCTCACATAAAACCCCCCTCACACTGCCCCCCCGTCCCTGCTGCCCTCCCTCACTGCTCCCTTCTCACTGCCCAGCCCTCGCAGCCCCCACCTCGCTGCCCCCTCACCGTCCTGCCCTCGCAGCCCCCACCTCGCTGCCCCCTCACCGTCCTGCCCTCACTGCCCCCCATCACTGCCCCCTCACCGTCCTGCCCTCACTGCCCCCCCATCACTGCCCCCTCACCGTCCTGCCCTCACTGCCCCCCCATCACTGCCCCCTCACCGTCCTGCCCTCACTGCCCCCCATTACTGCCCTCACTGCCCCCTCACCGTCCTGCCCTCACTGCCCCACCCATCACTGCCCCCTCACCGTCCTGCCCTCACTGCCCCCCCCCATCACTGCCCCCTCACTGTCCTGCCCTCACTGCCCCCCCATCACTGCCCTCACTGCCCCCCCATCACTGCCCCCTCACTGTCCTGCCCTCACTGCACCCCCATCACTGCCCCCTTACCGTCCTGCCCTCACTGCACCCCCATCACTGCCCCTCACCGTCCTGCCCTCACTGCACCCCCATCACTGCCCCTTACCGTCCTGCCCTCACTGCCCCCCCATCACTGCCCCCTCACTGTCCTGCCCTCACTGCCCCCCATCACTGCCCCTCACCGTCCTGCCCTCACTGCCCCCCATCACTGCCCTCATTGCCCCCCATCACTGCCCCCTCACCGTCCTGCCCTCACTGCCCCCCATCACTGCCCCCTCACCGTCCTGCCCTCACTGCCCCCCATCACTGCCCCCTCACTGTCCTGCCCTCACTGCACCCCCATCACTGCCCCCTTACCGTCCTGCCCTCACTGCCCCCCCATCACTGCCCCCTCACTGTCCTGCCCTCACTGCCCCCCATCACTGCCCCTCACCGTCCTGCCCTCACTGCCCCCCCATCACTGCCCTCACTGCCCCCTATCACTGCCCCATACAGAGCCGAGGCCACAGCTCAGTGCTGAGGGACAGTGAGCCCTGTGGTGGGGAGGAATGGGTCGCACTTTGTGATTAATTTATTTTCTGGTTTATTCAGAAGTTAAAGAAGAATTAATTATTGTTTGATTAATGAGTTGGGGCTCTGATTGTATTGTGACTTATGGTGGGCTCAGCAACTGTGGTCACAGCCGCAAGCCATCACAGGAGGATTACACCCCACCCTCCATGCACACACACATGCACACACACACATGTACACACTCACATGCACACACACACATGTACACACTCACACACAAGTACACACACACATACACATGTACACACTCACACACACACACATGCACACACACATATGTACACACTCACACACAAGTACACACACACATGCACAGACACACATGTACACACTCACACACAAGTACACACACACATGCACAGACACACATGCACACACACACATGTACACACTCACACACGTACACACACATATACACACACAGACATGTACACACACATCATGTACACACAGACAAACATCATGTACACACACACACAGGAACACACAGTGTACACACAAATACTTGAGAGACAGAGAGGGGGCGAAAGGGAGAGAAAAAGGCAAAAAGAAAAAAAAGAACGGGAACACCTACCGGGACCCTGGAGTCAGCCCTCACTGTGGGGCTGTGGGGCTCAGGCAGTCAGTCACTGGGCAGTGCCGTGTCGGGGCTGTGCCGTGTCGGGCAGTGCTGTGTCGGGCTGTGCCGTGTCGGGGCTGTGCCGTGTCGGGGCTGTGCCGTGTCGGGCTGTGCCGTGTCGGGCTGTGCCGTGTCGGGCAGTGCCGTGTCGGGCTGTGCCGTGTCGGGCAGTGCCGTGTCGGGGCTGTGCCGTGTCGGGCAGTGCCGTGTCGGGCTGTGCCGTGTCGGGCTGTGCTGTGCCGTGTCGGGCTGTGCTGTGCCGTGTCGGGCAGTGCAGTGCTGTGCTGTGCCGTGTCGGGGCTGTGCCGTGTCGGGCTGTGCCGTGTCGGGCTGTGCCGTGTCGGGCAGTGCTGTGTCGGGCTGTGCTGTGCCGTGTCGGGCTGTGCCGTGTCGGGCTGTGCCGTGTCGGGCAGTGCAGTGCTGTGCTGTGCCGGGAGCCGCTCTCACTGTGTGTGTCTCTGGCTGCCACGCAAGCCTCCGGGGGGGGGAGTGAGGAATGGGAGTGAGTTCCCTTTCCCCGAGTGACAGCGCAGCCTGAGGGGGGGGGGGGGGAGGGGGGGGGGAGAGGGGGGGGGGGAGAGGGGGGGGAGAGAGGGGGGGGGAGAGAGGGGGGGGGAGAGGGGGGGGGAGAGGGGGGGGAGAGAGGGGGGGGGAGAGGGGGGGGAGAGAGGGGGGGCGGGGGGAGGGGGGGGGGGGGAGAGGGGGGGGGAGGGGGGGGAGAGAGGGGGGAGAGGGGGGGGGAGAGGGGGAGAGAGGAGGGGGAGAAAGAGAGGGGGGGGGCGGAGGGGAGAGAGGGGGGGGCGGGGGGGAGAGGGGGGGCGGGGGAGAGAGGGGGAGGAGAGAGGGGGGCGGGGGGGAGAGGGGGGGGAGAGAGGGGGGCGGGGGGGGAGAGGGGGCGGCGTGGGGGGAGAGAGGGGGCGGGGGGGGAGAGAGGGGGCCGGGGGGGGAGAGGGGGGCGGGGGGGGGGGGGGAGAGAGACCTTCTCTTACTGTCTCTGACAAATGTGTGCCACACTGGGGGGGCCCTCACACACACAGTCTCTCACACACACACACAGTCTCTCTCACACACACACACACAGTCTCTCTCACACACACACACACAGTCTCTCACACACACACACACAGTCTCTCACACACACAGTCTCTCTCTCTCACACACAGTCTCTCACACACAGTCTCTCTCACACACACACAGTCTCTCACACACACAGTCTCTCACACACACACAGTCTCTCACACACACACAGTCTCTCTCACACACACACACAGTCTCTCACACACACACAGTCTCACACACACACACACACAGTCTCTCTCACACACACACACAGTCTCTCTCTCTCACACACACAGTCTCTCTCTCACACACACAGTCTCTCTCACACACACACACACACAGTCTCTCACACACACACAGTCTCTCTCACACACACACACAGTCTCTCTCACACACACACACAGTCTCACACACACACAGTCTCTCACACACACACACACAGTCTCTCTCACACACACAGTCTCTCACACACACACAGTCTCTCTCACACACACAGTCTCACACACACACACAGTCTCACACACACACACAGTCTCTCACACACAGTCTCTCTCTCACACACACAGTCTCTCTCTCTCTCACACACACACACAGTCTCTCACACACACAGTGTCTCTCACACACACACAGTCTCACACACACACACAGTCTCTCACACACAGTCTCTCTCTCACACACACAGTCTCTCTCTCTCACACACACACACACAGTCTCTCACACACACAGTGTCTCTCACACACACACAGTCTCTCACACACACACAGTCTCACACACACACACACACACACAGTCTCTCACACACACAGTCTCTCACACACACAGTGTCTCTCACACACACACAGTCTCTCTCACACACAGTCTCTCTCTCTCTCACACACACACAGTCTCACACACACACACACACACAGTCTCTCACACACACAGTCTCTCTCACACACACAGTCTCACATACACTCAGACAGAGCTGATAAATGAAACCTTGTGATGCAAAAGAATGTTGAAACTTTTCATTTTTTTCTGTTTTACTCTGAGTCACAGCCTCGTGAGGCTCTCAATCCCTCTCTCTGTCTCTCTCAATACCCCTCTGTCTCTCTCTCTGGCTTCCTCTCCCTCCCTCCTCCCTCCTCCCTCCGACTCCCAGACACTACCCAGTGTGAAAGGCTATTATTGTTGTATCTCTCTCTCCGGCTGATGTTTTGCCTTTAATTGAATCCAGATGAATCATTTCTGTGACGTTGATAATCCCCTCTCCTTCCTTCCCTTCTTTCTCTCCCTCCTCCCTCCCTCCCTCCCTCCCTCCTCAGTCCCTCTCTTCCTCCTAACTCCATCCCTCCTCACTTCGCCCCTCTCTCTCCCTCCTCATTCCCTTCGCCCTCCCTCCTCACTCCCTTTCCCTCCACCCTCCCGCCTCACTATCTCTCTCCTCCCTCCCTCCCTCCCTCCTCACTATCACTCTCCTCACATCCCTCCCTCCTCACTCCCTCTCCTCACATCCCTCCTCACTCCCTCTCTCCTCCCTCCTCCGTCACTCCCTCTCTCCCTCCCTCCTCATCCATCTCTCCTCACTCCCTCCTCTATCTTCTCTTCTCCAGTGTGAACATGCCCAATTTACTTAGTTGCTCCTCATAGTCCAGTTCCTCCATTCCCCCAATCATTTTGGTTGCCCTCCTCTGTATCTTCTTGATTTCTCTAACATCCTTTTTGTACTGATGCGACCAGAACTGTACACAGTACTATACGTATGGTCTCACCAATGATTTATACAGTGCAGGATTACCCACTATTTCGGCTGTGCTATTGACCTTTTGATACATCTCAACATCTGGTTTGCTTTACTCACTGAACAGAGCATTGTTGTGAGAGCTTCAATTTATTGTCAATCAGGAACCCCAGGTCCTTTTCATTTTCCGTACATATTTTCCTTCTGTTCAAACAGTAGTCCCTTACAGGGTGTTTTGTCCCCACATGAAGTACTTTACATTTCTCCACATTGAATTTCATCTGCCACCGATCTGCCCAATTCCCAAGAATGTTCAAATCCTCCTGTAACCTCTCTTGATCAGCTTCGCAATTGACCACCTTCATTAGCTTTGTGTCATCTGCAAACTTAGCCACTGTGCTTGTGACTTCTAGTTCCAGATCATTTATAAAACATATTAAACAAAAGAGGTCCCGAAACAGACCCTTGTGGAACTCCAACTTGTAACATTTTCCCAGTCTGATGATATTCCCTGAACCAACCCCTCTGGGTTCTTCCGGTCAACCCATGTGTATCCATTGTAACATACCTCCACTGATTCACGCTTTCTTTACCGCCTCTCAAACGAAAGACCTGGGTTCAATTCCCTGCAGGGTGAAACGTTGGGCAAGTTTCCTTACATTGTAACATCGCCCGACTCCACCACTACCTCAGGCGCTGAAACTCTTGTTCATGCCTTCATCACCTCCAGGCTCGACTATGCAAACGCCCTGTTTGTCGGCCTTCCCAACTCCTCCCTCCACAGCTGCAGATAATCCAGAACTCTGCAGCTCGTGTCCTCTCCCGCACCAAACTCCGTGACCCCACCTCCCCCACTCTCGCCCGACTCCACTGGCTCCCTATCCTTCAGATCCAGTTCAAGATCCTGGTTCTCACCTATAAAGCCCTCCATGGCCTCGCCCCACCCTACCTCTGCCACCTCCTGACCCCCTACCAACTCGCCCGTTCCCTCCGCTCAGCCGCTTTGACCTGCTCCACGTCCCCCGACCCACCCGCCCCACCATTGGCGGAGAGCCTTCAGCCACTCTGCCCCCAACCTCTGGAATTCCATCCCCCAATCACTCCGCCTCACCCCCTCCTTAGCCTCCTTCAAGCCCCCCTCAAGACCCTCCTCTTCGACCATTCCATCGGTCCCCCCCCCCCCCTTCCCCTCCCCTCCCTTCTCCCCCCCCTGATCCCAGCTCGGGTCTAAAATGCTGTCACTGTCCAGCGCCTTGGGACATCCTCCTGACATGAAAGGCGCAATGCACATGTAATCTTGTTGTTGTTGTTACTACACACGCCTCTGTTTATGTAGCAATAAGTAGGAACCCGGTTGTTAATCAATTGGAGTATTGCTTTTCCGGGAATAATAATTCCTTCAAAAAAAATAATAATAATTAATTGGTCAGTTCAATCCACAACTGTTTGTGGGACACTGCTGTGTGCAATTGGCTGCCGCGTTTTGCCCACAAAATATATACAGTCAATTCACTTTACAATATATTCTGTGAAGCGCTTTGAGACGTCTCGAAGACATGATAAGACACTATATCAATTGCAAGGATTTTTCTCATAGGATTATTAGTACTTTCAGTACCAACCTCCTAAGAAGAACTGTATCAAAGGCCTTACTGAAAATCAGATAAAGAACATCCACAGCCTTACCTTTATCAAGCTGCCTTGTCACACTATTATAGTAAATTAGATTGGCAAATCTTGAGGACATGATAAGGCAAAATCAAATGCAAGAATTATTATTATTTATGATTTTATTTCTGTCCAGATGCTCCATGATTTTCTCCTTAATAAGAGTCTCCATGATTTTACCCACAATGGATGTCAAACTTACTGGTCTGTAGTTTCCTGGGTCACATTTGTCACCTTAAAAATAGGAGTAACATCTACTTTTCTCCAGCCCCCCAGATTGGAGAAAAGTAGATGTTGCTCCTATTTTTAAGGTGATTTCTGAAAAATTTGTGCCAGCGTTTCTGCGACTTCCTTCCTCAGATACAATTTATCCGGACCCTGAGATTTATTTACCTTAAGTTTACACAGTTATTTGGCAACCATGCTGGTCGTGATATGAATAGGGTCATAAGTTTTTTTCTGCGACATCCTTGAGTTCTCTTTCCAGATCAGATAGGTTACCCATCTTCTCCTTGGTAAAGACTGATGCAAAAAACTTACTTAGCACTGTTGCAGC